AACCTGGGTCCTCTGCAAGAGAAGTCAGTGCTCTTAACTGCCAAGCCATCTCTCCAGCCCCAGTGTATGTAAGTTTTGCATATCAAAGTGCTGCAAACAGCACTTTCGTCTTTCGGAATGAGATAATTGTCCCATTTGTGTTACAGTCGATGGGATGAAGTCAGTAACATCTGTTTGTGATTGTATGTGTATTCTTCTCAATTAGCAGGGCTCAGAAAGGGCAAAACTCTTCTCTGATTGTAGGGACCCATGTCTGCTTTGCTCAGCAGGGAACCTTGCATCCCTGAGGTCAATACCAACTGGCAACAGAGTACCAGACTCTGGGACTTGTGTTTTTCTTTACAACAAGCTATTTATTGAAAAATTCAGAAGGTTTTTATACATTATAAGGGACTGGCAGTCACGTGGGGTTTAGCAGCTACATACAAAGATTAGGACATAATTAGACAGGACACGGGACATATAGTTTTTTTTAGTTAGCGCCAGCTAGGGGCAGTTTGTACAGCAGGATGCGTAAACTTTTACCAGTGCCTATCTCGTAATTTATTGGCCATGTGTTTTCTTTCTCAGGGATAAAAGCATAGTAAACTTTTAGCTTTTAGCCCATGAGTAGACCTTTCACCTGGCCTATTCTTTTAGCTAGTGATAGCTGAGTTATCTGTTCCTGACAAGGAGGTGGGCTAAGGGCTGTTGACCAAGATGCTTTCCCTCAGAGCAAAAGCTTAAACTTTGGACCTGAGCACTTTTCTCTTGCTAACCCTGCAGTGTTCTGCAAGACAGAGATATCAGAGCTGCTGTTTTCAGCACCCTCCCTTTAGCAGAGAACATAGCCTGGAATTAAAATTATCTCACCCTAGGGCATGCCATCCTGGTTTCCTACATCTGATAAGGGCCTTTTACTTTCCCATTTCATGCTGGATATACTGTTAGAATAAAACAAAGAGCAGGTGGGTCCTTGTTCAAAGCACAGTTCCAAGAGAATTCTGAAAAAACAACTTGTCAGCAGTTTGGGTCCACTCTTGGCCTGAAAATGGATGCTAAGAGTCAGGCTGTCTTTGTTTAAATATCACCGTACTGTGGCATCCAAATGCCTCACCTGCTTCTGCCTCCCGAGTCCTGGGATTAAAGGGAAGTGTCATCACGCTTGCCTCTACTTTGTTTTTTAATAGATTAGTGTTTGCATATCTGCCTTTCTGTAAATAGAACTGTCAAACTGCAGTGTTTTAAGATTTCTTCCCCCCTCCTAGTTCAAGAAAATGCTTTTGTAAGTATAAGCGTGATTTCCATCTTTGAAGAGGAAAGAGGTTATGTATTGTTTGATACTCTTCTTCTAATTAGTACTCCTTTAATTTCCTTCTCTTGTTTTATTGCTCTAGCAAAAATTTCAAGCACTGTATTGAAAAGGAGTGGAGATAGTGGACATCCTTGTCTGGTTCCTGATTTTAATGGTAATGCTTCCAGTTTTTTTTCCCTTTAGAATCATGTTGACTATGGGTTTGTTATATTGAGGTATGTTTCCTCCAGTCCAATTCCCTTTAGGATTTTTATCATGAATGCATACTGAATTTTGTCAAAGGCCTTTTCTACGTCTATTGAGATGACCATGTGACTTTTGTCTTTGAGTCCATTTATATGATTTATGACATGACTTATGTATATTGAACCATCCCTGCATCTCTGGAATAAAGCCTACTTAATCATGGTCGATGATCTTTTTGATGTGTGTCTGTATGAGGTTTGCAAGTATTTCATTGAAAATTTTTGCATTTATGTTCCTTAAGGATATGGGTCTGTAGTTTTTTGTTTGTTTGGTTTTTGGTTGTGTCTTTACCTGGTTTTGGTATTAGAGGAATGATGCTGGCTTCATAGAAGGAATTTGGGGGTTCTCCCTCTGTTGCTGTCTTTTTCAAGTAATTTAAGTAGTATTGGTTGTAGATCTTCTTTCATTTTTTGGTTGTTAGCCTTAGCCTTTAATAGCTGCACCCGATTGTAGATCTTCTTTAAATATCTGGTGGAATTCTGCTGTAAATCCATCTGGACCTGGGCTTTTTTTAGTTGGGAGGTTTTGTATTACTTTTTCAATTTCCTTATTTAATACAGTATAGGTTTTGAAAGTATTCGCCTATAATATTCTGGATCTTTTGGGTTTCTGTTCTGATGTTTCTCCTTTTATTTCTGATTTTGTTGGTTTGGATTTGCTCTTTCTTTCTTTTGGTTAACTTGGCTAAGGGTCTGTCTATCTTGTTTAGCTTTTCAAAGAATCAGCTCTTTGATTGATTCTTTGTATTGCTTTCTTTGTTTCTCTTTCATTAATTTCTGCTCTGATTTTTGTTATTTCTTCTCATTTGCTGGGTTTGGATTTCATTTGTTCTTGCCTTTCCGGAGTCTTGAGTTGCAATGTTAAGTAATTTATTTGTGCTCTTTCTGATTTTTTAATGTAGGCACTTAGAGTTACAAACTTCCCTCTGAGGACTGCTTTTAAAGTGTCCCAGAGGTTTTGTTGTATTGTATTGTCCTTATCTTGGAATTCCAGGAATTTTTTATTTCTTTCTTAATTTTTCCTTTGACCCACTCATCATTCAGGAGTGTGTTGTTTAAGCTCCATGATTTCGTGTAGTTACTAGGGCTTCTTCCAGAGTTGATTTTAAGCTTTATTGCATTGTGATCTGATAGAATGCATGGAATTATTTCAATTTTTTTTGTACTTGTTGAGGTTTGTTTTGTGTTCAGTTTTTGAGGAAGTTCCATGGGGTACTGAATAGAAAGTGTATTCTTGGGGCTAGAGAGATGGCTCAGCAGTTAAGAACACTGGTTGTTTTTGTAGAAGACCCGGGTTTGAATCTAATCACCCACATGGCAGCTAACAACTGTCCATAATGCCAGCTCCAGGGGATCCAATGTCCTCTTCTGTCCTCTGCAGGCAGTGCATGGCACAGGTGCACTTAACCTACATGCAGGCAGTATACTCATACACATAAAATAAAAATGATAAATAAGCTGGGTGTGGTGGTGCATGCCTTTAGTCCCAGAACTTGGGAGGCAGAGGCAGGAGGATCCCTGTGAGTTCAAGGCCAGCCTGATCTATATAGAGAGTTCTAGGCCAGCTGGGGCTACAGGGAGACCCTGTCTTCAAAACAGGTAAATGCTAAATAAATAAATAAATAAATAAATAAATATTTTTTTAAAAAGAAAGTGTATTCTTTGGTGCTTGGGTAGATATGTTAGGTCTTTTTGATTTATGGTATCATTTAACTCAGATTTCTCTCTGTTTATTCTTTGTCTGGTTGACCTGTCTAATGGAGAAAATGGGGTATTGAAGTCCCCTACTATGACTGACTTGGGGTTAATCTGTGTCTTAAAGTCCTGTAGTACTGTTTTTATGAAATTGGATACATCAGAGTTTGGTGCATATATATTCATGATTGTAATATCTTCTATTGTTCCTTTGACCAGAATGAAGTGACCCTCCTTATCTCTTCTGATTAGTTTTAGTTTGAAGTCTATTTTGTCAGATATTAGAATTGCTACCCCTGCTTGTTTCTTAGTGCCATTTGCAGGGAATATTCTTTTCCATCCTTTCACCTTAAGGTAGTGCCTATCCTTGAGATGGGTTTTTTACAGACAACAAAAGGATGGATTTTGTTTCTTAATCCATTCGCTTAGCCTGTGTCTTTTGACTGGGTAGTTCAGTCCAGTGATATTTAAAGTTATCATTGAAAGATGTGTATTAGTTGCCATCATTTTGATTCCTCTTTGCATTCTTTGTCTAAGTTTTTTGTTTCTACAGTTATACCTTCATTTAGTTTCTTGCTGTTGCCCCTGGGGTATAGTGGTTCCTTTCTACATTCTTTGTATTACTTCAAGTATTCTTTGAAGGGCTGGTTTGTGGACATGTATTCTTTCAGCCTATTTGTGTCATGGAAGATTTTTCTTTCCCTTTCAACTATAATGGACATTTTTGCTGGGTAAAGTATTCTGGGTTTTCATCTATGGTCATTTAGAACTGGGAATTCTTTAGGTTCTTCTAGCTTTCATAATCCCCAGTGATAAGTCAGCTGCAATTCTGATGGGTTTTCCCAAATACAGGCCTAGTTTTCCTTTTGCACCCTTCAGTATTATTTGTTCTGAACATTTCGTATTTTTACTATGATATGCCGTGGGGAGTTTCTTTTCTGGTCCTGTTTATTTGATGTTCCATGTGCTGGAAAAGCCATTGAGTGTTTAGAGTTTGTTGCTGTGCAGCGTTGAACAGTTACACTGAAAGAATTGTGGACAATGGAGTCCTGGCTTGTGAAGCTTCAAAGGGAAGCAGAGACCATCAGGGCTGTTTGTGTGGTATTTTAAATATCACATATTTTGAGTGTGTTCAGGAAGTCTAATGTGTGTCGGCCATGTTTCCCAGGTGAGAAGACAGAGACAGTAGTTTATGACAGAGATGGCCCGAAACTCAGGCTCTGTGCTTCAGATACCTCACCACCTCTCTTGTACCTCTCAGTCCAGTTAGTGCAAGGTGTGGGATTTGGGCAAAGGCTGAGTATGCTTCAACACTAATATGGTTTGTCAGACTATTTGGTCTTTTAAATTCTTAAAACTCAGAAAGATGATTATGCTTTACTGTTTTCTTAACTTTTTTTTTTTTTCCTCTTTTTGAGACAGGGTCTCCCTATAGCCCCAGCTGTCCTGGAACTCACTATGTAGACCAGGCTGGCCTCGAACTCACAAAGCTCCACCTGCTGCCTCCCAAGTACTGAGATTAAAGGTGTGCGCCACCACTCCCGGCTTGTTTTCTTAATTTTTACATGTTGACTATTCTGTCTAGATTTAAACTGTTTAGAACTAACAGTATCATATTTTTGCATGTGTACCCCAAATAGCCTACTTGGGCTGGGTGTGGTGGCCTACACCTTTAGTCTCAGCACTCAGGAGGCAGAGGCCGAGAGACCTCTGGGAGATCAAGGACAGCCTGACCTACATAGTGAATTCCAGGCCAGCTGAGGCTACAAGGAGACCCTGTCCCTAAAAAACAAAAACAATGCAAAAAAAAAAAAAATTAGCCTACCTATTGATTCTTTGATAGTTATATACAATATGTTTTATCATATTCAGACCTTTTCCCCCATCTCCCACCTCCCTACTCCCACCTTGCTTCATGTCCTCTTTTATTTTTTTAAGGCCTACCAAGTCTAATTTGTGTTCCTCAAATGCTACTGGGCATGGATCCATCCCCTGGAGTCACACCCTTAAAGAAAACTGACTCTTCCTCTCCCAGCAGCTATCCATTGACAGTAATTCCACCTAGTGCTGTGGCTTCTTGCCAGGCTCTTCCCTCCATGCTGAGTCTTTGACTGGCTTGAGTTTGTGCAAGTCTTATGCACGCTGTCACAAGCCCTGTGCTACCTAGGACTTCAAATGTATAGGTTCATAAATGGTACTAACTAGGTAGATACAGTAATTTAAAGGTCCTGGAACACAGGATATCAGCGTGACAGCCAAAAGTAGGATCCAGGTCTTACTGCCCCACCTGGGCAGCCTCTCCCTGCTCCTCAACTAGAACTCCATCCTTTCTAGGCAAGCAGGGCTGTTTTGTGTTACAGGCACACATGGCATTCAGGGATGTGGCTGTGGATTTCTCCCAGGAGGAATGGAGCCTGTTGAGCCCTGCTCAGAGAACCCTGTACAGAGAGGTGATGCTGGAGAACTACAGCAACCTGGTCTCTCTGGGTAAGTGATGTATCTCTTGGGACTCAAATCTCCCTCCCCCACTGGGGATTTTAGGTTGTGTTTGCACAGGCATCTTACTTTCTGGCTTGGTCTTTTGATTGGATCAAGAGCAAAGACATTGTTCTCTGCTTCCATAGGGAAGTTCTGATCTTCTAGAGTTGAAGCCTCCCATCTCTTTCTCTATCTCTGTCTCTATCTCTATATCTCATCTCTATCTCTATCTCTGTGTGTGCATGTTTCTCTACAGCTCTAGGCTTTACTCCTACAGGCTGGTGCTTTCTTCCTAAGTTTCCTTTTTAAAAATGAGATAGGATGTGTTAGACTTTCCATTTTTGTAAGACACACCCAAGAAAACAACTTAGGAACTGGACAGATGGCTCAGCTGTTAGGAGCACTAACTGCTCTTGCAAAGGACCTGTATTCAGGTCCCAGCACCTATATGGCAGCTAACGACCTTCTGTAATTCCAGTTCCGGGGCATCCAGTCACCCTCTTCTGACTTTCACAGGCATTGCATGACATGGATTCACTTACACACATGTAGGCAATACACTCACACACCTAAAATAGAAATAATAAATAGAAAAGTTAAAGGGAGGAATTACGTATTCTGGCTCACAGTTCTGGTCCATGGTGGTCGCAGGGCTGGTAGAACAAAGCAGCACACTTCATGGCAGCGTGAAGCTCAGAGAGTGAGGCTGGGCGAGGCTTTGCACTGGCTTTCTCCTCCTCCTCGTTGATTCCAGCCAGGCCCCCAGCCTGTGGGGTGGTGCCATCTACTTTCAAGGCAGCTCTCTTTGTGCCCCCTCTATGGAGGCCCCTCAGACACAATGTTGTGAGGTGTGCTTGACTGATCTCCTAGGTGCTTCTCCACCCACTCAAGTTGACCTTGAAGACTGACTATGACAGGAGTAGTCCACCCACCCAGTGCAGAGCAGAATCAGTGTGGTCTTTCTGAATTCTCTCAAGTAACTTCATGCTACCCTTTGAAGTTCCTCCCCCAGTTGTTGCTTTTGAGTCTGTTCCACAGGCAAAGCCAGAGTTCCCTTGACACCATAGCCTAGAGTCCTGTTTTCTTTCCTGGTGAGCAGGAATTCCATTTTCAAAACCAAAACTCATCACCCAGCTAGAGCAAGGGAAGGAGACATGGAGAGAGGAAAGAAAATGTCCCCAGGCTGCCTGTTCAGGTGAGTGGGAAAGTACTAAGATGGGACACAGGCTGCCAGCAGCCCAGGGGGCTGAGAGAGGAGGTCGTGCCGAGGAGCTGGAGAGGGCAGCTGCTCTCTTGACCCCTTGGCCTCCCTTCCAGGCTTCTGGCACATGTAGGCGCCTTCCGGGTGTCTCCTGTCTCTTCTTGAGGCCTTGGCTTGTTCTGTTTTCAGAAAAGATCAACAAGAATATGGCAAAAACTGAGTGAGCGCGAGAAAGAAAGCAAAGCCCAGTAAGAGGAAGGAAAGCTAAAATGCCAGTTGAGGGGGCTGGGGTGTAATTCAGGGGCAGGGCGTGCACAGGGGCAGGGCAAGGCCACGCCTTCCGGGTGTCTCCTGTCTCTTCTTGAGGCCTTGGCTTGTTCTGTTTTCAGAAAAGATCAACAAGAATATGGCAAAAACTGAGTGAGCGCGAGAAAGAAAGCAAAGCCCAGTAAGAGGAAGGAAAGCTAAAATGCCAGTTGAGGGGGCTGGGGTGTAATTCAGGGGCAGGGCGTGCACAGGGGCAGGGCAAGGCCCCACTTCAGTGTCACTGCATCACAAAGGGAGAAAGAAAAAAGCCAAAGCCAGTTGGGAAATTGAAAAAGAGTTCTGAAAAGACTGAGTTAAGAATTGGCTGTACAGGCCTAGAGAGCGGTTAAGAGCACCAGCTGCTCTGCAGAGGACCTGTGTCAGCTTCCCACCACCCACATGGAGGCTAACAGCCCTCTGTAATTCCAGTTCCAGAGGATCCATCACTCTCTTCTGACCCCCGAGGGCACTGCACGTCACAGGTCCATCGACCTACATGCAACCAGGAGAAGCAGCAGCAAGCCTCTGATGGGAGCTCCTGGAGAGAGAAAGCAGGAGGCGGAGGGAGAGAAGGCACCAGGCCTTCATTTGGAAGGACAAAGAAAAGGAGTTTGGGAGCCTTCTCCAGACCACTCCAGAAGAAGCAGGTCAGCTCTGGGAATGGCACGACAGGAGTAGAGCTGGAGGCCAGCCCAGCTCCAGCTAGGAGCCCTGAAGAAACAGACAAATTACTGAAGCGAATAGAGTTGTTGGGATTTGGAGGTGTCAACTGTGGAGAGTGTGGGCTGGGCTTCCGAAAGATGACAAACCTGCTTAGTCACCAGAGGATCCACTCGGGAGAAGCCATATGTGTGTGGGGTGTGCAAGAAGGGCTTCAGTCTAAAGAAGAGCCTTGCCAGACACCAGAAGGCACATTCCGGGGAGAAACCCGTCGTTTGCAGGGAATGTGGCCGAGGCTTTAACCAGAAGACAGCACTCATCATTCATGAGAGGACACACTCAGGTGAGAAGCCTTACATGTGCAATGAGTGTGGACGAAGCTTTAGCCAGAAGTCAACGCTCATCATTCATGAGAGGTCACATTCAGGTGAGAAGCCTTACATGTGCAATGAGTGTGGACGAGGCTTTAGTCAGAAGTCAACACTCATCATTCATGAGAGGACACACTCGGGGGAGAAGCCTTACATGTGCAATGAGTGTGGACGAGGCTTTAGCCAGAAGTCAACACTCATCATTCACGAGCGGACACACTCAGGTGAGAAGCCTTACATGTGCAATGAGTGTGGACGAGGCTTTAGCCAGAAGTCAAACCTCATCATCCACCAGAGGACACACTCAGGGGAGAAGCCTTATGTGTGCCAGGAGTGTGGCAAAGGCTTTAGCCAGAAGTCAGCTGTTGTTAGGCACCAGAGGACACACTTAGAGGAGAAGACCATAGTGTGCAGTGACTGTGGCCTGGGCTTCAGTGACAGGTCAAACCTCATCTCCCACCAGCGGACACACTCTGGGGAAAAGCCTTATGCCTGCAAGGAGTGTGGGCGCTGCTTCAGGCAGAGGACAACTCTTGTCAACCACCAGAGGACACACTCGAAGGAGAAGCCTTATGTGTGTGGTGTGTGTGGGCACAGCTTTAGCCAGAGTTCAGCTCTCATCTCTCACAGGAGGACACACACTGGGGAGAAGCCATATGTGTGTGGGGTGTGTGGACGAGGCTTTAGTCTGAAGTCCCACCTCAACAGACACCAGAACATTCACTCGGGAGAGAAGCCTGTTGTGTGCAAGGATTGTGGGCGAAGCTTTACCCAACCATCAAATCTCATGAGACACCAGAGGGCACACTCAGAGGAAAAGCCCATGGTGTGTGAGAAATGTGGAAGAGGCTTCAGCCAGCAGTCAAACCTCATTGCACACCAGAGGACACACTCAGGGGAAAAGCCATATGTGTGCCGAGACTGTGGGCGAGGCTTCAGCCAGAAGTCAAACCTCATTGCACACCAGAGGACACACTCAGGGGAGAAGCCCTACGTGTGCCGAGACTGTGGGCAAGGCTTCAGCTACCAGGCTGCCCTCATCAGGCACAAAAGGAAGCACTCACACGTGTAGGCAGTGTGGACTGGGCTTTAACAGTAAGTCAGCCTTAATCACACATAAGTGGGTCCACTCTGAAGAGAAGCTCTGTGTGTCCAGAGTGTAGCCAAGGCTTTATCCAGAAGTCACACCTCACCTTACATCAGATGACATACAAGGGGAGAAGCCTTATGTGTGCCAGACCTGTGGGCAAGACTTTAGGCAGAAGTCTCCCTTCAGCAGACACAAGAAGATGAAGTGTGTCCACCTCAATCTGCCATCCAGCCTGACTCTGAAGTCTTCCAGGGTCATTCTTCTGACCCCTTCGGTTTTATTTAAAAATGAAGATGATGGAGAGGATTCGTAGTCAAAATCCTTATACTTCCATGAAGTAGGAAGATACATCTCATAAGTAATCGATGGACATTAACTTGGTTTGCTTCCTTTCCAGTATGTCTCCATGTTTTATGTCTTTTTGTTCTAGTAAACTTTGCTTCTTTACAAATCTGGAACCTAAGCTGTGTACCTCATTTCTTGTCAGGACTTGAAGAATGACTCAGGTATCTTGAACTCTATAAAGTCCACTCTTCCACAAGAATTCATTGCTTGAAAGACCTTAGCCTATGTCACACATGTATTTATTGAGAAGTCTGGTCCTTTGCATGGGGGAGTGTGTCTAGAAGTATTTTCAGAAATTTTAGGCAAAAAGTGAGATCTAGAAAGGGCCATGATTAACAACTGTCGGTGATACCAGTTACAGGGGATCCGACACCCTCTTCTGACCTCTGCAGACACTGCATGACGCAGTGCACTTACCACTTACATACATGTAGGTAGTATACTCATACAAAATAAAAGTAAATAAATATTTTTTAAAATATCAACATCGATGAAGATACAAATGAAAACCACACAGTGATACTTGCACCTGTCAGAAAGAAACATTTGTACAGATTAAGAAAGCACTGCTGTAGCTTCTGGAAACAGGCACACTTTATACAATAGTCCCTGGACTATACATTGACACAGTCTATGCTAGACAACGTAGTAAGCTTTAAAGAGATTCATGAGCCCCCCCCAGGAATCATCTAATAGCTGTATATACTCATGTGAGAATGATTCATGTAAATTCTTTTATTTAATTGATACAAATTATTCAATGCAGTAGTTTCTAATTTTAACAAAGTTCAGTAGGGGAAACTGATTAAGAGGCATTCACAAATATGCTGTGATAAATGAAATATTACTATATAGTATGTTAGAGGGTCTCCGAGATTAATTTGTGAGCAGGAAGGCAGGATGGAACAGTGTGGGAATACTGTCCAATACACTAAGTTGTAAAAACAGAAGACCCTTTCCAAAGTTGGAACACGAACACTGCCCAATTTCAAATCATATAAAACTGTGGTAAGTTATATTTTGTGCATGTGTGTATAAGCTAAACATGTTTTCTGCAAATTAGCTTAGGAAATCAATTTTTCTTTTTCATTCAAATTTCATTTTTTTCAACTCCATTTTTTTTTTTTTTTTTTTTTTTTTTTTTTTTTTTTAAAAAAAAAAAAAAAAAAGAGGACGATAAATCTTTCACTGTGATATATCAAAATAATGTGAACTCACAGAGATCCACCTGCCTCTGCCTCCCAAGTACTGGGAGAGCCACCATGCCCGGCTCCCAAAATTTATTTTTACACCTGAACGCACACTCCCAATTTTCCCTTCTAAGATGGCTCAGGGATGCAGTTTTACACCTATATTTGCAATGTGGGATTTTTCTGGATTTAATAGCATAGTATATTTTTTTCCTAAAATGGTCTTGAAGATAGGTCTGTTCATTCAAATTCATTAAGTCTTATATGCTTTAGGAAATAACTATGCCAAATTTTTAAAGATGACTCAGGTATGTGATTTTTCATTTAAATTTCCTTGGGTTTTTAAAAGGTGTTCATAAATTCTATGCTACATTATTTTACAAAATGTGTAGAAATAAATTTTTCATATCAGTTCATTCAAGTCATAGATTTTTGGAGGGCCATAAGTCCTTTGTCAAGTTTCCATCTAAGTGATCAATAAACATGACCTGAAATCTGAATTTATGTAAATACTGGGGAGTTGGGGGAAGAAACGTCATGTGCCACACTTCCCAGAATTCCTGGCAATGTAGCATTTTCAGTTTTACCTACTTAAGTTTGGGGGCTCATTGATGGTTATCCTAACATCTAACATGAGATAATTATTCAAAATAGGCAAAGAATGTGGTTTCTTACCAAATTTACTCAAATCCTAGGATATTTTGTTATGCACTCTTTGCAAGAATTTTCTTCTGATTCACACGAAACTGACTTTTCAGTCAAATTGCATCAAATAGTGGTTTTGGGCATTATTACTGTGCCAGAATTTTCTTCCACTGCAGCTTAAAAATGATAGATTTCTTCCAATTTTCTTTAAATTGATGGGTAGTTGGGGGTTAAGCCCTCTTCCTTGCAAGTGGTGAGAAAACACTTCTTAAAGTTTACTAACTTTGTAACATTTATTACACATAAGTTCTGTGCTATTTTTTTCTATCACAGTGATCCGAAAACATGATTTAAATAAAAATTCAGATCAACAAGCATGTTTTTGCACATCAGACCCATGCTATCTTTTTCTTCCAGAAAGTGAGTTTTTTGGGTATAAGTCTAAAATAATTTTATTTTTCCAAAATGATTCAGAAAGATAATCTTTCACTCAAACTTGCCAGAAATGAAATTGTGGACATAATTCCACGTGAGACTCTGTCCCTCCAGAATGATGTAAAAGTTTTATGTCCAAATTTGTTATTTGGGCAGGGGCAGTTGGCATGAGTTGTTCACCATAATTTTTTTAGCCTAAACACAGAAATGTGGCTTTAAAGATTCATTCAAATTGTGGTTTTTCTTTTTTTGTATGACTTTTTTGTATATTTTTAAATTGAATTTTTGTGTCTTTCATACACAACATCTTAATCATCTTTATCCCCCCTCCCCCATCAGCACCCTCCCATAGGTCCTCCACCCCCGACTGGATTTCGTCAATTCTGTCATTTATGTTAAGGCCTATGAAGTCAAGTTAGTATTCCCAGACATCCCTCAGTGCAAGTTCATCCACTGGATTCTAGTCAGCCTATCTAGGGTCACTCCCTTAAAGAAGATCAGCTCTTCCTTACCCAGCAGTAATCAGCTACCCAGTAGTTCCTTGGCTAAGATTGGGGCCTTCTGCCCATTTCTACAATTCTGTGTTGGGTTTTTGTCTGCTCAAGTTTGCCTGGGTCTTGTGCATGCTGACACTGTTGCTCTAAGTTCATATGAGCAAGGTCCCAGGAGCCTGTAAGACTCTGTTCCCATATGGTTATACACCTCCTCCCCTGGCTCTTACAATCTTTCTGCCCCCTCTTCTTCAATGGTCCCTAAGCCCTGGGTGGGTGAAGTTTAATATAGGAGTCCTGTCCAAGGACTTACACTCTGTAGACTCTTATTCTCTACCCTTTCGCCAATTGTTGCCTTTTATGTTCATGGCCCTCTGTTGCATGAGGGAGCTTTATTGATGAGAATTGAGAGATGCATTAGTGTCCTCTCCACCCCTAGTTCAACTATGTTCTGTGATCCCCAGGTGTAGAGGTTCCATTGTAGATGTGTCACTTAGGGTTGGGCAATTCACAGACAATGTCTGTGTGTGACCAGTTGTGGAACTCTGTAATAGTCTCTGTCTGTTGCAAAAGAAGCTTCTTGGCCGAGCGGTGACTGGTATACTCGTCTGTAAATATAAAGATCCATATTTAGCATATAGTAAGAAATGTCATTCATCTAGGGATGCGACAGCTTTGGGGTTTTAACCTCTTAAGATCTGCGACCTCTCCTGCCACCTGTATTTTTCTATGTTTACAATACCACACATAAGTTCCCTCCCATTGAGTGGGCTTCAAGTCCAATTAGGTAGCTGTTTATTATCCCCAAGATAAAAGTGCCACTAATGCCCCAATATAGTTTGCTGCTGTGCCAGTCATTGTTGTGGTTATTAGGTCTTAAAAGCTGGGGTTGTACCATTGATTGATCTCCCTTAGCTTGCATGGTATCCTCCAAAACTATGAGAGTTGGCCTTCAGGGAAGTGGCTTCTAGGTCAGTTCCAGCTCCATTCCTTCAAGTCCTGTGTCTGAAGGGTGTCCTGTCTTCAGCAACAGGGTCCTACTTTCAAGTTCTGGGAGGCAATCAAGGGCTATGGCAATAGCCTATGTAATTTGGGGAGTGTCTTGGACTACCCTGGCCAACAACTCAAAGGGAAGTTTCTCCTTGTCAGGCACTGTTCCTTGTTATATAGCTTCCAGCTATACACATGGACTCATGCAGATAAACTGTGTATGTAATTTTCAATAGATTTTTGAACTAATATGTTTTCCTCTGATTTTATACAACTAAGCATTATTTATTTCTCTTCTCTCTCTCCCTGTCTAACACTCACTCCTCCCTCCCAGTTAAAGTACCCCCATTTCACCCATAATAATCCCTGTCTCCTATGGTTCCCCCCTTATTGAGCTTCTTCTCCTTTACCCCCATAGTTCTTTGTATAAGCCCTTCCTCTCCCCGCTCCCATTTTACCCATTTCTCCCTTGGTATCACCTGTCTCCTGTTTTTCTCTCTCAGCCTCCTTTCCTTTTACCTCCATGGTTTCTTTCCATTTTCCTGGCTCATGCAGTTAAATCAGGATATATACTCATATAGAATGATTTGTTGCTAGGATGCACAAGTGATATAACTCTAAGGCAGATAGGCCAGAAACATGATTATTCATTCAAATTGGCTCTGACTATGAGTTATTTGGGGTATAAATTCTATGCTAAATATTCCGAAATGGTAGAGAAATAGGATTTTTAAAACTCCAAATTGTCGAGCTAGGTGTGGTGGCACATGCCTTTAATCCCAGCACTCAGGAGGCAGAGGCAGGTGGATCTCTGTGAGTTCAAGACCAGCCTGGTCTACATAGTGAGTTCCAGGACATCTGGGGCTACAGAGAGACCCTGTCTCAAAAAGACAAAAAAACAAAAACAAAAAAACCCAAAATCCAAATTGTCATAAATTACAGGTTTCTGGGGTTTGTGGGTTAAATTTTTTTTTTACTTTTTTTTTTTGTGTGTGGTGCTGGAGACTGGACCCAGGACTTAAACAAGCCAGGCAAGTGCTCTACAACTGAGTCACGTTTCTGTTTTTTTACTTAATTGTGTTCTGGTTTCCATGTCCTGGCAGAGTGAATTACTATTTAGATCAGTATGGTATTTCACCAGTGAATTACTAGTGGAAAAAATTTCAATGGCCAGTGAGATGGCTCTGTGGGTAAAAGCACTTTCTGCACCGGCCTGGACACTTGACTTCAATACCTGGAATTCCCACAAAGGCTGAGAGATAATTCCACAAGGTTGCCCTCTGACCTCCACATCCATACTGTGGCAAAGCCATCTTCACACATGCATTGTGTGCACACAATAATGATTTTAAAATGTACATAAATCA